CAAACTAAAACCCAGCCCTGCTGCCATCGAGTCCACCCGACTCACAGGGACACTGCAGGCTCCTCCTAATGGGAACAACGGAGTGAATCCAGGAATGGGGCGCAGGTAGCATTTGACAGACGGGGAAAGGGGCAGACAAGCATGTCCGGTCCGTTTTGATCTTGGGCAAGTAGGATATGTCTGCCGCCAAGCTGGGCACTCACTCGGAAGAAGCAACAGCCAAAGGAGAGAGAGTCGAGCAGGTGCGGGCGTGTCGAGTCAAAGGTGCTTGTGGAATCTACAGGGGGAGATGTCCAGGAGGCATCTGGAGACAGGAAATAATTGGGTTACGGATTTAGATGCGGAGACCATCCAAATTGAGGGAGTGATTGGAAAAGCGTGGAAGGATGAGCTTGGTGGAAATAAGAAGAGAGCCCAGGGCACAGTTACAATCCCCGGCAGGGCCGGGTCAAGGCGTCCACAAAGACACGGACAGGATTCCACAGAGGAGGGAGTAGACCAAGAAGTGCAGTCTAATGCAGAGCCAGGGACAGAGAGCATTTCCAGTATAAAGGAAAGGTCAGAGAGCTAAAGCTCTAGTCATGGGGAGTGTGGCAGGGTTTCTGTCTAAAGGGTCCTGGCCGGTTATATTCCAAAGTCATTACTGGGCATCCTATCTCTCTGACTGCTGCTGTCGCTGCTCCTTCCCCATGTACTCATCTTCCAGGAGGGTGAAACCCAAGGATCAGGTGTCCGGTACTCAGGTCCAGGTTGTCATGGGACGAGGGACACGTTAGCGCTGAGGGAATGCCTCAAAGAAGTCTTCCAGGGGAAGGAAGGTTGGAGCCAGGTCTGAGGATATAGGGTGCGCTCAGCAGGGAAGAGAGGTAACCATTCTGGCAGAGGGACCCCAGATGCCCTCTAACCTCACAACCCTCAGTCCAATATCCCATCACCAGATTAAAATTTTTAGAAACATTTAAAACAGGAACTCATCTAAAGGCCACTTATGGATTGAATTGGGCCCTCACCACTCCCCACAATAAATGTCAGCTTGGCTGGGTTATGAGTCTCACTGGTTTGGCAGTTATGTAATGAGGTCATGGGGCAGTTATGTAACAATACAATCATCCCTCATGACGTGATCCGAGGGGATGAGCCCTGATCTGCTGTAAGGGGATTAGAATGGAATACATCACCTCTAATCAGGTTACAGCCCCAATCCAATGGAAGGGTAGTTTTCCTGGAGTGTGGCCTGCATGATCTTTTATCTTTTAAGAGATGAAAAGAATAGAGACGTGAACAGAGACAAAGGGACAGATTACCACCAAGAAAGAAGAGTTGGGAGTGAAACGTGTCCTTTGGAACCAAGGTCCCTGTGTTGGGAACCTCCTAGACATTAAGGAAGATTGATGACCGAGACCCTCCCCCAGGGCCAATAAGGAAGGCAAGCCTTTCACTAGAGATGGCTTTTGTAGCATCCTAAACAGTGAGAATACATTTCTGTCTGTTGAAGCCAACCATTTGTAGTATCTCTGTTGTAGCAGCCTTAGATAACAAGGACACCACCCTAAGAATAGAAGAAAAGTACTTGGCCCACTACAGGTATCCACAGCCCTTCACTGGATCACCCCAGACCTGAGCCACAGTGTGAAGCTACAGAGCCTGGAAGAAAGACAGCTTTTCCCATGGCTTCTGCCCCATGCCCTCTTGTTCTGGGTACGTCAGATCGAGGAGGCTTGACCCTTGACTCAATCATAATGGCGTTGCGGTTGTTATCGGCAGGGGAGGTTGAATCATGTCTGATTCACGGTGACCCTATTCACAGAGGACAAGTGTGGCTCAGCCCTGCACCACCCTCGTAATCGTGGTTATGTGTGCGCCCATGGCTGTAGCCACGTGTCCATCCGTCTCGCTGAAGAGCTTCTCTTTTGCTGCCCCTCTACTTTCCCAAGCATGTAGTCTGTTTCCAGGGACTGGTCTCTCCTGACAACATGTCCAAAGCACGTGAGGCAAAGTCTCTCCGTTTTCACTTCCAAAGAGCACCCTGGCTGTTCTTCTGAGACAGATCTGTTAGTCCTTTTGGCCGTCCGTGTCACTTTCGATCTTCCTCACCAGCACCACCATGCAAATGCATCAGCGGTTGTTCAGTCTGCTTTATTCAGTGTCCAACTTTCACAAGCCTGGGAGGCTCCTGGCCTCAGATAAACATCACTAAAGATGTAGGCCTCCTTTATGTATTCATCCTTCGTGGGTGCATCCACGAGTCCTGCGTTTATTAAGCACCTACTGCCCCATGCGCCCAGCAGCAGAGATAGAAAGGTGACTGAGGCACAAATGGCACACAGTGGAGAGGTAAGTGACTCACACCGTGAAGTATCCTGTAACTTCATGCCATCAGAGAGCCCCGTAGACAGTGCTCAGCTCTGCCCAGGAGGTGGGAGCATCAGGGAAGAGTGACTCCCAAGAAGAGTTGACTTTAGAACTGAGACACCAGGCAAATGAGGGTGGGCTTTACAGGAAGGTGACAATAGGGGGGGGGCGCATAGACAGAGACCTGGAGGTTGCCCAACACGTTCAATAGCCCTTATAGGAACTGTTGACCTTGGCTTTTAGAAGTTCAGGGGAAAATAGAATGAAAAGAGTGGAAAATTTCCAAGAACTTGTTGAACTCTCTTGTACATTTAGTTGTCTTCTTCTGGGATTGAAGGAGTGCCTGCAAGGACGCCGTTCAGTGTGAAACACCAACCCGACCCGTGCGCTTTGTGAAAACACGAACCCCGCAGGAAGGTAACACACATGCTTACACAACATCCCTGGACCTGACCTGACGAAGTCCCTCAGCCTTGGGCAGAGCCCCTGGTGCTCATGGCTCTCAGAACGGCACACTAGCCCTTCCCATCCCCCACCGCCACACCTCCACCACCACCACACCTCTGCCCAACCTCATCCTTCTTGGGCACATGAAATTGAGAGACATGACTCGGTTCCCGCTCTCCCCACTTCCCAGAAAGGGATGGTGTAATCCCAGGTGCCTGTGAGTGAGAGAGACTCAGGCTAGGTGGAGGCTGAAAGCCTTAGAGTTCCTCACCAGGATGCTTGCTCAGAGAGGTGCTTGTGCACATCTCTCCGGGTTAGCAGGCTGTTGGATCTGTGCATTCCAGGAGGCTATTGCTGCCCCATAACAGGCCCCTTCTCTGTGCTTCATTCTCCACCACTAGCAATGTTCTTCTTTGGGTTAGGCTGAGGTGGGTGGGGGCAGTTTGGTGGGATGGCTGCCTGAAATGTGTCTGTCCTCAAAAGGGTGACAGAGCCTGCTACTGAGCAGCTGAGCAATCAAGTCTAATTTCCCTGCATCTGGAGGATGGGGCGGGCCCATGCCAGGTTTAAGCCCAGGGATGGCTCCCACCTTCACTGTCATCAGAAGCACAGGCCCCCTTCAGACGGGCAGTGGGGCATGCCAGAGCTGGCAGCTTAAAAAAAATTTTTTTTTTAGTCTAGACAATGGACATAGAAAATGTTTATTTGCTTCTTAGACTGAAATTTCAACTATTACCATGAATATTGGCTAACACCGGCATTGGACTTGGAATTATCTTTTTATATATATTATATTTCTTTATAAATCTTTTTATTGGGGGCTCTTACAGCTCTTTTTAAAAAAATCATTTTATTGGGGGCTCGTACAACTCTTATCATAATCCATACATACATTCATGTGTCAAGCAAATTTGTACATATGTTGCCATCATCATTTTCAAAACATTTTCTTTCTACTTGAGCCCTTGATATCAGCTCCTCATTTCCTCCTTCCTCCACCCTCCCTCCCTCATAAACCCTTGATAATTTATTTAAAAAAACATTTTTTTCATGTCTTACACTGTCCGATGTCTCTCTTCACCCACTTTCTGTTATCCATTCCCCTGGGAGGGGGTTATATGTATATCATAGTGATTGGTTCCTCCTTTCTCCCCCACCTTCCCCTTCCCCTCCTGGTATCTCTATTCTCATTATTGGTCCTGAGAGGTTTATCTGTCCTGGAGACCCTGTGTTGTGAGCTCTTATCTGTACCAGTGTATATGCTCTGGTCTAGCCGGATTTGTAAGATAGAATTGAGGCCATGATAGAGTCGGGGTGTGGGGTGTGGGGCAGAGTAGGAGGAAGCATTAAAGAACTAGAGAAAAGTTGTGTTTCATCAGGGCTATACTGCACCCTGACTGGCTCATCTCTTCCCTGTGACCCTTCTGTAAGGGGGTGTCCAATTGTCTACAGATGGGCTTTGGGTCTCCATTCTGCACTCCTCCTCATTCACATTGATAAGATTTTTTGTTCTGGGTCTTTGATGCCTGATACCTGATCCCATCAACACATAATCACACAGGCTGGTGTGCTTCTTCCATGTGGACTTTGCTGCTTCTCAGCTAGATGGCTGCTTGTTTATCTTCAAGCCTCTAAGACCCCAGATGTTCTACCTTTTGAAAGCCAGGCACCATCAGCTTTCTTCACCACATTTGCTTATGCACCCGCTTTGTCTCTGAGCTGGCAGCTTTTATGTGGCGCTATGTGGTGCTTGGAGCCCTGGTGTCCTACTAGTCACATGTTGGTCTGCTAACCACAAAGTCAGCAGTTCAAAACCACCAGCTGCTCTGAGGGAGAAAGATGCGGCTTTCTACTCTAGTGAAGAGCCCTACAGGGTTGCTGTGAGTTGGAATGGACCCGATGGCAGTGAGGTTTTCTGGTTTTGTTTCTGGCTTAATGTGGTACTTATAGGGCAGCACGTTTATCCCCAACCGCTTCTGACAACAGCGCTGTTGTGTTCTAGATTTAGAGAAGGTTGCTCGCTGGGAAGTTCAGTAGTCAAGGGGACCCAACTGTGAGGACAGATGGGGTCTCCCAACTCTGGGTCCAGGGTCTCCTCCCTCCGTCTTGGACTCGACGTCCCCCAAATGAAGACACACACACACACACACACACACACACACACACACCCCTGTCCTTTCTCAGCAGGCCCTGGAGGGGCCATGTCCCTCATGCCGTGGCTCCGTTGGAACGAGACCCCACCGCGGCTGTCCTCGCAGAGTCCGGCCGAGATGGTGCTGGAGACGCTCATGATGGAGCTGGCGGGGCAGATGCAGGAGGCCGAGAGGCAGCAGCGGGCGCGCAGTAACACCAGCCGGAAGATCCGCACGGGCGTGGACTACAGCTGGCTGGCCAGCGTGCCCCGGCTCACCTACGACCTCAGCCCGGGCGAGCGGCTGCAGCTGGAGGACGTCTGCGCCAAAATCCACCCGTCTTACTGTGGGCCCGCCATCCTCAGGTAACCCTGGCATTGGGGTGGGACCAGCTAGCGGTGGGGGGAGGGAGGAAGCATTTAGGAACCAGAGGAAAGTTGTATTTCATACCAAGGAAGTCCGTCCATACCCTGCAGCCCCATCCACTCCACTCTGCAAATGTTTCTGGTTTCAGAAGCACCGTGGGCTGGGTGGCTGTGAGCCCTGGGGTGGTCCTGCTAATGAGGGAATCTGAGTGGCAAACCAAAACCTCTGGTCATGAGGAGGGAGGCTGAGGCCTTTCACAGGGTAAAATGAGTGCCCTGCCAGGTGTCCTTTCTCATGTAAAGCGGGCTGGGCCCTGCCATTCAAGCTAGTAGAAGAAAGCACAGTAGGTGCTAAAGGGACTTGGAAGACTCTTGATTTCTTGAGCTCTAAGGACAGGAGGACACAGGAGCCCAGGAGAACCCAGGGCATTTGGGGAATCATTTGGTCCCTGGAGCACAGACAGCATCCTCAGGGAAGTAACAGGGGTTAGCTCTTCCAGGGCCAAACAGCACCACCGGAGCCACCTGCAGAGGTGATCAGAAGGTACAGAGGGGTATATAGCATGGCAGCCACAGGATCAGGCATGAGTTCCAGAGAGATGACTCGGACCTCTGGGCCAGCAAGGGTGGGAGAGGGTGAGTCGGTGGTGAGGCTTCATGCAAGTCTATCGATGATCTTACTGCCAAGATCTTTACAGACATTATTCAACCTCCCCCAAAGGCAGCTACCTTGTGAGGCCCCTAGATGGCGCACACGCTTCGTGCTCAGATGGCTAGTCCCACGCGGCTGCCCAATTCACCCTTGACTGCCCGCACCCGCCCTCTCCCCCTGCGCCCTAGGTTCCGGCAGCTGGTCGCAGAGCAGGAGCCCGAGGTGCAGGAGGTGGCCAAGCTGTTCCGCTCGGTGCTGCAGGAAGTCCTGGAGAGGATGAAGGAGGAGGAGGAGGCTCACAAGCTGACTCGGCAGTGGAGCCTGCGGCCCCGGGGCAGCCTGGCCCTAGCCACTTTCAAGACCCGCGCGCGCATCTCCCCGTTCGCCAGCGATATCCGCACCATCTCGGAGGACGTGGAGCGGGAGACGCCGCCGCCACCCCGGGCCTGGAGCATGCCTGAGTTCCGGGCGCCCCAAGACGACTGACCCTTGAGCCTCTCCTGCCCGGAAACTGAGCCACCTGCATGATAGGAGGGCATGATAGGCCGGTGACTGGGTCACCAGATCCTGGAACCTCCCCCCACCTGCTCTTGTTAACGCGGCCAAAGAAGAGGCTACCCACCAATCTCAAGATACTCCTGTTAGATGGACCACCAGGTCCACTCTCCCTGCAGATCACCGGGCCTGTAGTTTTAGGTGCCCAAGTCAACAGCTCCTACTTGCCTGCTGTGTACCTACAGCCCTGGGCAGACAAGTCAAGATCCCATCTCCATCTTCCGCTTCTACCTGGAAGGGAGGGTTTCCTTGCCTTCCTGCCAAGACTGGGATTCACGCCCCAACTTCAGGGACTTCCTGTGGACCGCCTTTCCCTGGGTAATGATGAGGGGTCTGTTGGATGGCGTCCACTCTCAGTGGGTGCAAGTGGATGGCCGGTGTGGAAGGAGTGAGGCGGTCCATTACGCTCACCCTCCTCCACTAGTGAGTGAGAGGGGCAGGCTTCTTTTACCACGAACTACAGCCAGATAAGATGCCCAGGAGCTGTGAGCCTGTTCTGTACAGGTCTCCACCCTGGAACCCTTGAGTCCTGGGCTGTGCTGGCACAGGTCCAAGGGCTACACCTCTGCCTGTCTGAGGATGGAGACTCTGAGCTGCTCACCAAGAAAGTTCACTGGGAAGGGGCTAGGTGGCCCCATGACCCTAGCCCTCAGTGTCATCAGACGGGAGATGGCCAATTCCCACTGGCTTCAGCCCATGGCATAGTGGTTAGGCTTTGGGTTGCTAACCGCATGATCTTTCTCAGGAGAAAGCCAAGGCTTTCTACTCCTGCACAGTCTTGGAGACCCACAGGGGGAGTTCTACCCTGTCCTATAGGTTCGCTGTGAGTTTGCATCGACTGGATGGCAGGGAGTTTGCCCGAGGTCTTTGCATTCACTGCTCTGGAGGGCCAAGTCTTTGCCTCTCAGGGTCTCTCTTACTCTTACATGCCTGCTCTCTGCTTTCCTCAGGAACAACAATATCCAGACTTCAAACTGTCCACAGCATCAACTACCCTCCCGTGTTACAACACCGCCAGCTCTTGATGATAGATGGACATGTGGCTTATCTCCTGTGTGAATTGACCACTATGTGGACTGACTATCTGTGGCCAGGCAGGGTCAGATGATCTGACACACTCTGGGGCTGAAGTGGGGATATGTGTGTGTGTGTGTGTGTGTGTGTGTGTGTGTGTGTGTGTAGGTGTGGAAAAATGTCTGCCCTCAACCATTATTAGCTCATGCCCAGTAAATGCAAACAAAGCATAACACTTATCTAAGACAAATCAACAGGAGGGAAATTCATACATGCCCTGGCCAACCTAGGGAAAACTTTTTTTTCAATTTGATCCAAATTTTAATGTTGTTTTTTCCCTCTCAGTTTCTTTAATTTGATCCCAATTTTAATGTTTTTTCCCTGTTTCTTCAGAAGGAAATTGGACAGATACTCCGAAAGAGAGATGGATAAACTAAAATTCCTGAACTTACTCTGATTTCTCCCTAATCATCAATTCCCATGCAGAAAACCATCGCATATACACTTTCAAACTCATGGTATTTGATCGGTAAAAAAACAAATTTCTTATAAATACTGACAAGAGAAACGTGTGGGGAAACTTTTTTTTTTTTAATGATTTGGTTTTGATTTTCACTCTACTCTAAGTTGAGATGTATACCATGCTGGGACTTTATCCCACACTCTCAAGATGACGAGTCTGAAGGAGATCTGGCCTCACCATTGAACTTGAGGGGTTGCTTCTGCTGATCTGACGGGCTGTGCAGGTTCCCTTCTTACCCACTGCTCCAAATGGACCCACCTGAAGCTGGGTGTGTGGCTGAAGAGGACGACCTTCCCCAATAGAGGAGGACCGTCCTTTGTTCAAGGGTAGATGAGTAGCTTTGCTCCCCCTTCTAGAAACTCTAAAGCTCTCAAAACCCAACACTATCCAGATAAAGTGTTCATGGCCTCATTAACATAATTGATAAAAAGCTGATTATTTAAATGAAAGTACACATTTTAAAACATCTTACATATTTTAGCCCAAGACGACAACAACAAAAAAAGTTCATTCATTTGCCAAACACTCAAACACTTGGTGGAGGTTTAAACTGAGTTCAGGTGTTTTTAAGTATGGGTTGTGTGCTGGGAATTTCATAGCTACTTTTTCTTAGTTTGTATTCTAAATCAATCATCGAATAGGACAGTGGGCATAAGTAGACTTTGAAACAGACAGAAGCTACCCTTGTTAAGCAGAACAATGCAGTTGGTGGGTACAAGCGTGTTGGGGGATAATAATCCGAGCAAAGAGCCTACGAGCTGCGAGTTTTGAGTGTCCTGGTCGTGGGTCAGAGTGTTTTCCAGAAGGTCGGGAGGGTCCTGTTCACCTGGTAGCCTAGAGGAGACTGGTTAAAAGTGAACCTGCTGTTTTCCTTCTTCCCTATGTACCTATTTCCCCAAAAGCCACAAGCTTGAGCCTTTTAATGTGGTGGCCTTTTTAATTTCAAGTAATTGGAAGATGAGAAAGTCTTCTCTGTGTGGTTCGGTGTGGCAAGAACAGGCCCAGCCTCTCTCAGATCTCACAGAAGAAATCTACCAGGCCCCTGTTGTTCTGGGCCAGTGGACCCCAACTGGTGGCCCTCAACCTTGTTAGGGCCCAGAAGTTGTACATTTGGATCCAGATTGTTTAAGGGAGTAATGATGTCTGCTTTGATTTCTATTTCTAAAAGCCCAATGACAACAAATAAATATTTTTTTCCTTAAAGACAAAACCATGTGAGAGTTTCCTTGTGAGTATCTGGTGAGCAGTGGGTGGTGGGTGATGGGTGATGGGTGGTAGGGATGAGTTGAGCATACTCAAGATTCCGACAAGTAATTGGGTTGCACTCAGCTCAACATCACTAGCCACTAGAGCAGCGGTTCTCAACCTTCCTCATGCCGCATCCCTTTCATACAGTTCCTCATGTTGTGGTGACCCCTCAATCATAAAATTATTTTCATTGCAGCTGATAGTGCCCGGCTATCAAAAGATATAGCGTCTGGGGTCTTAAAGGCTTGAAGGTAAACAAGCAGTCATCTAG